CCCAGGCGAAAACATACGACATCTGAGAAAGAGCGACCAACGCGACATCAAACCCATTACACCTCTACACCTCAAAGCCCCAAACACGCCCAATTGGAGCCCGATTGCCACCCGCACGACCCTTCCTCCCTTGATACAACCATGGTCCTGCTTCTCGAGCAGTGATTCAGCAAGCAAAGCACGCACACACACACGATGGGACCCCGGAGCCACGTCTGTTCGGCGGCGGCGACCAGGACGGCGTTTGTGCGGCAACAGCTCCTGCTGCTCGCTGCAGGGCGGCCCGGCTATGGACGAGCACACTGCTGTGCAGCAGCAGCTGCTGCCGCCATGTCGCAGCGCCGGCGCGCATCGTTCTCGCCGTCGCCCCGGCTCCCCGTGCCCAAGAGAGTGGCCGTCATTGGCGGCGGGCTGACGGGCCTGACCACGGCATACTACCTGGCCATGCTCTTGCCAGCGACGAGCCACATTACAGTCTACGAGGGTAGCGGGCGGCTAGGCGGGTGGATCGACAGCGAGTCGTCGTCGTCGTCGACGACGTCGGATACGGCGAACAACGAAAAGAAAAAAGACGCGGGCGAGCACGAACGGACAGACGTCCTCGAGGCCGGCGCGCGCATGGTGGCGCCGCAAAAGGGCGCCCGCTATGACGATTTCTTGCTGCTGGAACTCATCGACCAACTGGGCCTGCACGAGGAGCTGCGCGTCAGCGAGTGGAAGGCCGCGCAGTACATCTACTACCCAGACCACCTCGTGAACGTGTCGCTGGGCAACTTGCGGCCGCAACGGCCGCAAGCCGAGGACAACCAAGAGGGCCGGTCCGTGACCCTGGCCGAGCAGCTGGCGTACTGGAAAGCCTTTGGCCGGTGGGTCGTCTGGTGCGCCACGCGGGTGCTGCAGGAGCCGCTGTTCCGGAGCCTCCTGCCGGGCGCCTTTTCGTACCTGTTGCCCTCGACGGCCAAGGCGGAAAAGATGCAGGCGCGCATGGTGGCGGCGAGCAAGGCGCCCGGGCGCTACCCGCCGGCCAGCGACGACGAGTCGGCGGGCGCGTTCATGACGCGCATGTCGGGCGGCAACACGGCCCTTACGGACAACATGCTGTCGGCGGTGATGCACGGCATCTACGGCGGCGACGTATGGAAGCTGAGCGTGGCCAGCAGCATCCTGCGGCCGCAGTGGCTCAAGGAAGCGGCAGGGCCCTTGTTCCGGCTGTACGACCGGCAGGCCAAGATTGCGGAGCTGCGGCGGCAGCAGGCGGCGCGCATGGGGCGGGCCCAGCCCGAGGACCACGACGACTTCCCGGGCCAGAACGCGGGCCTGGGCGGCGGCATTGCCGGGTTCCCGCCGCTGACGGCGGAGACGCTGCGCTTCGCAGAGGAGTACAGCGCGGCCAAGGGCAAGGTGGAGCTGATGATGGAGAGCGACCTGCAGCTGCTGCACGACATCATGCTGCGTCTGCGCGACCGCTACGAGCCGTGGCTGGCGGCGGCCCAAAAGAAGCGGGGCACGCCGGGCTACGAGGGCGACGCAGACGACGGCCTGCCGCGCGAGGCCAGCCCCTTTGACCGGCTGCCCATGCTGATGATGCGCAGCACCGGGTGGACGCAGTTTGGGTTCGCGCAGGGCTTCGGGACGCTGACGGACGCGCTGGCGCGCAGCCTGCGCAGCCGGCCCAATGTGACGATCCGGTCGGGCGAGCCGGTGACGGGGCTGCGGTACGAGGCGCAGCGGGTGCGCGTGGCGACGCCCAAGACGAGCGCCGACGGCGACGCGTACGACCGCGTGGTGTCGACGGTCGCCAGCCCCACGCTGTTCCGGATGGCCGGCGGGTCCGACACGAGCGGCGACAGCGGGCAGCTGCCGTCGCTGCGCGACGCCCACGCCGTGACCATTATGGTGGTCAATCTGCACTACGCGGAGCCGAACCTGCACCGGCCGTACGGGGGCTTTGGCTACCTCATCCCGCAGAGCGTGCCGCTCGAGGAGAACCCCGAGGGCGCGCTGGGCGTCATCTTCGACTCGGACCGCGAGATGAGCATGCGCGAGCTCTTTGATTTCGAGCGCACCCTGGTCATGGACGACGCCCACGCGACGGACGTCTACAACAAATCCCAGAAGGGGCTGGACGCGACCCGCGCGGCCCGCGCGGCGGCCGATAGCACGCGCGGCTCCAAGTACACGGTCATGCTGGGCGGCCACCTGTGGGACGGCTACCAGTACCCCGACGACTTCCCGTCGGCGGACGAGGCCGTGCGCATGGCCGAGGCCGTCCTGCGGCGGCACCTGCGCGACACGCCCGGCTTTGGCGGCGGCGGCGGCGCGCCCATGCCGACGCCCATTGCGACGCGCACCAAGCTCTGCCGCGAGTGCATCCCGCAGCACTACGTCGGCCACGCCAGGCGCATGGCGGCGCTCGACGCCGACCTCAAAGCGGCGTTTGGCGGCCGCCTGGCTGTGGCTGGCGGCAGCTTCACGGCCACGGGGCCGGGCGTGCTGCCGTCGGTGCGGTCGGCGTACGACGTGGCGCTGCGCGTCGCCGGCCGCGGCTACCAGATGGTCCTGGAGGACAAGAGCCGGCGCGAGACGACCATGGCGCACGTCGGCGACACGGGCCTGGGCCGGTTCGCGGATCCGGCGACGGACAGCGTCGGGATGCGGGCGCGCGAGCTGCTGCCGCTGCGGTTCAACAACAAGCACGTATACGCGCGGGGCTACTTTGGCCGCAACGTACACGGGGACGAGTACGTTCGTTACCCCGTCCGCCAGTGACGGACGTGGCAAGAGAATCCGCAGTGTCCTCTGTCCCCTGTCCTCTGTGCTCCGGACCGTGCGCTTGTATTTGACCAGCAATGAAATACAAACCGTTCCATGCAAAGAGACACGATAAGTGCGAGACGCAAGAAGGGAGTGTTCCAGGAAGGGCATCCTCAAGGAGTGGGCTTGGAGCCTGTTGGAGGAATGGCCGTCAGCAATGCTCCACAGCGTATCACAGGTCGTGGTCGGCCGCTGTCGTCCGCTGTATCTCACCAACAGACCCTGCGCTTCCTGCGTGTTGAGTCCCCTGATTTGGACTCTGGGGCTAGCCTTAGCCGGCGCAGCCTGGGTTCTGTTCAGGGGACTTTACAGGCACGCAGCTGTCTTCGTTAGGGCTCTCACCCGCTGAAGGATAGGCGAAAAGTACGGCGCACGCCCAGCAACGTGGCATTGACGAAGTACGTCGTAATTAATTCGCAAGTTACTGCCATGCGCCTGACCGCCCCCAACTTCCTCGGTTGTCAACAACAGTCGCATTTAGGTTTGGTTAGTTGGTTAAAAATAGAAGCAGAACAGGGCGGCCTGAAGACTCCGAAATAGTGGGCTTTGTCCGCTAAGCCATTCTTCTCTTACAGTGATCCATCAATCTGCTCAATGTATTTCATAAACGGAAAGAGCAACCAACAGCCGTGGGTGCCAGCGAATGGCGATCATTGGTTTTCTTTCAACGTAGTTTTGTGCACGGTTTCTTTCATACGCCTATTGTTTCCATCCCCGGCCGCCTCTGGACGCAGGGAGTCGTGCGTCGTGCATTGCACCAACAACAAGCAGCCATCACGGGAATCCTTTCAACGAAACGCTGTCTGTCCATTTCAGGCCACCGTCGCACACCCTCTCTGCTTGCTCCTGTTTGCTCCTGTTTGCTCCTGTTTGCTCCTGCCTGTTCCTTGCCTCTCTGTGTCTGCCCTTGCCTCCTTCCGTTTGTCAACCCGACCGCTTGCCCCTTTCCTCTTCTGGTCCTCTTTTCTCCCTCCTCACAAATCCAGTACGCGCGTCCTTGACGACGACAACGACGACGTCGCCACTTATTCGTCGCAGTCTTTCTCGTCTGCCCTTCTGTCCTCTATTTTACCGTGGTAGTAGTCTTACTATGGCACTTCCTGTAGCCCAAACCGTAGAGTAAGAATACATGGGCGCACTGGCGGCTCCGCCCCTCGCCAAGTGGTTCGTTCCTGCCGTATTCACGTATGTTGCGTGTGGACTGGTCCTGCTCCTGCCAAAGCATTAAGATGGCAGATGGCAGATGAGCCATTAGCGCCATCTGACAGCAGCCGACCAGTTCCTGCCAAAAACGGGCACACTGCCCGACATAGCCAACACTGCCCTGCATCATCTCCGTACAATGTGCTATTTTCCTGTCCTCTCTGTCTCTTATTTGCCCCAGTTCATGCGTGCACGCTCTTCCAAGCCTACCGCACGTTTCTTGCCCAAATACAGAATACGGCGCATGTCGGGCCTCTTTGTCCCTTTGGCCGTTGCTTTGCCTGTTCCCAATCCTCTCCACACACCCAACTCGCACTCTAGACACATTTCAGAAGACACATTTCAGAACCACCGTGAGACACAGCACACTACGGAGGAATGACTTTCCAACTCCTGCTTCTTGCTACTGTAAAACCTGACTGTAACGACGTCGTTTGCATTCCATCGTCTCTTACGCGTGTTATGATGCATATTGCAAATCCACCTTTCAGCGTCGTCGCTCCTTCCTTCTCCTAAGACGCAGCAGGTTTTTGGCTCCGCAAATCGTGCCTTCTCCGTTAAGTGTAAGAAATAAGAAACAGGGACCGTTTGCTAGCCCAAAACGGCAAGCGCCACCGCGGCCTCCAGCACTCCAGCTCGTCACGGCATCCACTAACACACACTAACGGTGTTGGCATTGTACTTTCCCTACAACATAAGTTGCACAACGTCGTCGTACGCAGCCACGCTCTTTCCCCTGCGAACGGGCCCGCTTCTCCTGTCGTTTTATCCCAGACGGGCAACCGCGTTCTCAACTGGCAGTCGCTGGCTTGGCCTCTTGCCTCTTTGGCTTTTTGTGGCTTGGCTTTGTTGACACCTCTTTTCTGATCTCTCGATCTTCCTTTTGCCATCGTCATCTTGAACCTCCCCCAACTCTCTCAACCATGCCGCTCGACCACGACGTCTGACCACCATCGACCTTCTCCTCGCCGCCCCGTCCCGTCATGGCCGCCGGCGACGAAGCTCCCGACGCGCCGCCGCCCCAGCCGCGGTCCTCGACGGAGAAGCCGCCGATCTTTCTCGACGGCAGCGACGGCGGCATCGACGACAAAGACAGCAACGCCGGCTACGATACATCACCAGGGACGCCGGTCGCGTCCGCCGGCCGCAGCAGCATCGACAAGGCCCCGCGAAGCAGAATGGCTGCCCTTCCGCCCTTTGGTCGTCTCCCCGACGAGATCATCCAACAGTATGTTTCAATGTTCTTTTCTTCTTCTTCCTGTCTTCTTTTTTATGGCCCCGTCCCTCCGTACCGTCCTAACCTTTCAGAATCCTCCTCGCAACCGACTCAAACGCCTTCGCGTCTCTCGTCCTGCTCAACTCCAAATGGCGCACCGTCTCCCAGCAAGCCCACCTCTACGCCCACCACCTCGCACGAACACCCACCTTTCTCGCCAGCAACTACAAGTCCCTCTTTAACCGCCTCAAGTCGCTCCAGCAGTCCGCCCAGGATGGCTCTACCACTGCCGCCGACCAGCAGGACCGCCACGACCGCCTGCTCGCCGACCTGCGCCGCGCCTTCGCCCGCCAAGTCAAGCGCTGCCGCTTCGACGCCTATCTGCGGCCCAGTCGCACCCTCGTCCGCCTCGTCAGCAACTCCATCTCCTCGTCGTCGGCGCCCGGCGGCGAGGGCATGCAGTTCCAGGCCTCGCCCCGCGGCCACCACTTGCTGGCGTACAACTCGTCCCGCATCTACGTGCTCGACGTGCGCAGCGCCGCGGCGCCCCACGGCGTCGAGGTCGTCCGCGAGCTCAAGGTCCTGCGGCGGCCCGCGGCCACCTGCATCCGGGACGACGCCTCGGTGCTCGCCGTGCTGCTCACCGAGATGCAGGTCGACCTGTACGACCTGCAAAAGAGCCCGCCGCGCCGCATCCAGTCCATCATCCTCGACCACAGCCCGCGCGCCATTGCCCTGAGCCCCTGCGGCTCCGTCTTGGCCGCCGCCTACGAGGGCGGCATCGAGGTCTCCTCCCTCCGTCCGGGCGCCCTCGCGACCGACCGCCGCGCCGTCAAGTGCGACCACGTCGACGCCCTCGCCTTTTCCTTTGACGGCACCCAGATCCTGGGCACCTCGGTCCACGCCGCCCAGCCCAACACCGTCATCCTGACCGCGCCCTACTACGACCCGGGCAGCCAAATGTCCAGCGACGATCTGAGCGCCCTCTGGACCACATCGATCCTCTTCCCCAACACCAGCCGCGACTGCAGCCACGCTGTCCTCCTGCAAGACTCGAGCCGCGAGGAGGCCTTTTGGACGTTTGCCTACGACCGGAGCTTCGAGACCTTCCGCGCCGTCCGCATCGACGACCTCCGCAACGGCACCACCTACTTTACCGGGCCCATCCCTACCGCAGCATCCCCGGCCCGCCTGCTCCCTTGCACGCTGCCGTCCGCCTCGTATCACGGAGACCTTGTCTCGGCCGGGTTCCAAGGCAAGGACATTTGGCTGTATGGCGTGCCGGAGGACCTGGACGCCGTTCCTACCAGCCCTGGCAACAACTGCAACAGCAGCAGCGGCGACAGCAGCAACGACAGCAGCATGGATCCAGGCGCACCGGGTGGCTTTGAAGGTATGAGCGGCAGCGGCGCGTCCGCGATGAGCACTGCTCTTGGTGGCGGCAGCAGCAGCGCCACGAATGGCGGCAGCAGCGCCAGCGGGGGTGCAAGCAGTGGCGGCAACGGCGGCAGCATGTCCCGCGCCAACAGCGGCAGCCCGTCCATGCGTGCGGCCTCGGCCCGCCTGCAAGAATCGGGCAGCGACTCCTCCGTGCGCGTGCCCCAGTGGCAGCTGCTCTGCGACCGCCAGCGGAACACGTTCATTGCAGGGTCTCGCGTCGGCGAGCTGCCCGGTGTCAGCATGGTGAACTGGGTCGAGGGCTTTGGCGACTCGTCCCTGCGCGAGCGCTTGGTCGTCGGCGCCCGCGGTGTGCACCCGCCCCAACCCATCAGCTCCGACGACGACGGGATTGACTTTATTGACGGCGGGCGCTTGTTGCTCGTGGACTTTGACTATGGCACCACCGATGGCGAGACAACCGAGATCACCATCGAAGTCGGCTCCAAAGAACCCGAGGTTCTCGAAGAGGAGCACCGCGACATTGACACTGAGGTGGCTATTGTGCGGCGCCGGACCGTGGCCCAGAAGCGCGGCAAGCCCGGCGCGCTCATGCGGAATGCCACCACGGCCGGTGTCGGCGCCGCACACAGCAATCCCGTCGTGCCCCTGCCGGCCATGCCAGCCCTGCCCTCGTCCTTCTCACAAGGCGCACGACCCGCGCACGCATCCAACTCGCGGCCTCTTGCATCGTCCTCGCTCCGCAATGCCACAAACAGCAGCACCAACCACGAAGACGACGACGACGATCCGCTTGTTCCACGACGCATGGCGGCCCCTCCAACGACTCGCCAGCAGGGCTCAGCCCTCGGTGCAGCAGCACGGACACCGGCCGTGCCTCTTTTGCCGGGATCGGCTGCTGCTGCTGCTGCGGCCGCTGCCGAATCGGGCATGACAACGGATTCGGCTACCACCGGCACGGCTGGCACGACTGCGGAGGTTAGCCACAGTGATCGCGCTGAAACAGAGTCCGTGCTCGGTGAGGAGGAACAAGAGTCTATTGAGGCCTTTGACGCGCCTTACTCGCAGGGCAGTCCACGGTCGGGCGTCACCCTGCGCCGCGCCGCCACCGCTGCCGCCATCAACCGCCGTCGCAACCCACCGCCCGCCACCACGTCAAGCGGTGCTCCTATTGTCTACCGCCGCGCCGACGGGCGCCGCGAACACCCTCACGAGAGCGACGCCGACAACTGGGTCCCGCCACCGCCGCCGTATCAAAAGGACATTGACCCGCACGATTTGCCAGCATTCTTGCGCCACAACGTTCCGCCCGTCGTTGCGCCGCCACAACCCGTGGCTCGTCCCGCCCCCTCGGCCACCGCCGCACCGACCATGTCGGCCGCGGCACCGCCCCCAGCAACTCTTGCAACATCTACCTCTTTGCCGCCTTCAATACCTGGTGTGGGTGCCACGCTGGGCCTGCCAAATCCAGACCTTGCTGCGGAAAATACAGCAGCAGCAGCAGCAGCAACAGTGACAACACAGGATCCAAGTCGTAACGACGAGAGCGAGTTCAATGATGACCGGCCGGTGTCGCGTGAATCAGACACTGTGCCGTCGGGCGACCTGTACGAGGCATCGCCGCCTGGATCACCACATGTTGAGCAGCGGCCACCTACGGGCCTGTCGACGACGAACGAGTCGGCGGGCGCAGCTTCTCAACTGCCGCCGCAAACGCAGCCGCCGCAAACGCAGCAGCAGCAGGCGTCGACTGGTTCCGTGTCGACGACGGGCCCACCAGTTCTCGATCTCCAGATTCCCGCACAGACAGGTGGCTCTCTCTCCTGGGACCCGTCTGCACCACAACCTCTGCCTCCCCAGCAACCATTTCAACCACAACCACCTCAACAACAGCCACCACAGCAGGTGCAAGACAGCTACGGCAACTTTGTGCCCAAGCCCGTGGCCTATGTGCAAACGTGGCCAATGCAGCGACCGTCCGTTTCGAACGCATCCGGTGTGGGCTTCGGCGTGGCCACTGGGCCGACGGGCGGCATGGGCCTAGGTGTCGGTAACACAAGCTACCCAGTCAGCTACCCAGTCAGCTACCCCTACTCGGCACCGCCTGTGGCACAACCTGCGGCCCAATATCCTGCCACTGCCACGACCACTGCCAATACCAGCGCGCAGGCACCGGCCAGTTCGGAAGACTTTTCGTCGCCGCCGGGGCAAGGCCTTGCCAGTCAACAAGAAGCCGTGTCGCCGCTTTCCCCGAACCGCTTCTCCATGAACTCCTTCCTTGTCCCGCGCGTGCCTGTTGGCAGCAACCGGCAAAGCAGGCGGTCTTCCATGCAACGGCCGAGCACTGGGATTCCACCTGGGCCCGGACCGGCCTCAGCTCTCGGCTCCAGCAGCGCTGCTGCCGTGTCGGTGGACAACCTAGGCTTGAACAAACCCCTCCCATATCTACAACCACAGCAGGATGTGAACCAGGCGTTCCAGCAGCTACAACTTCAACAACAGCAGCCGCAGCCACAGCAGCAGCCGCAGTACTACTTCCAGCCGCCACTGATGCAGCCACAGCGCGCCTTTTCCAACCCTGTCGTCTCCAGCTCGTCGCCGTCGATTGGTCCAGTGGAAGACCAGCCGCTCATCATCAGCACGCCGCGCGGCGTGACCGGCGCCTTTGACCCACCGAAAAGCAAGTCCAAGTCGGGTCTTGGCCGCTTCCAAGATGGTCCTGGGGGTAGTGGCAACCATCATGACGGCGGTGCTGACGACGACGACGACGACGACGACGGTCCGGCCCCTGTCATCTTTGCACCGGTCCCACGCCACCCGCAGGCGCAAGAGCGCAACGCCGAGCTTCGCGAGCGTCTCGAGACGTTGTCGGGTGGCGGCACACCTGTTAAGCCTGCCCAAAAGCCGCTGATTCTACCGTACACGTCGGGGTTCTATGCTCAAAACGGCACAGCCGCCGCACCCACGTCTGCCACCTTGCGCCAGCCCAGCCTCAACCGCAAGCAAAGCCGTGCCGAGCGCAGCGCGGCCAAGAACATGGCCGATGCCAAGAAGCGCGGCTGGCGGCGCAGCAACAGCAAAAAGAAGAAGAAGGGCAAGGAGGCCGCGTCCACCGCGACGGTGGACACGTCCGTTCCCGTCCCGCCCCTTCCGCCGCCGGCATCGATCGGCTCATCCACGGTAACGGCCGTGCCCGGAAAGAGCCGGCGCGGTAAGAAGGCAGCGGCAGCCTCAGTTGCCCCGTCCGTTGCCCCGTCCGATGCCATGTCGGGATTGTCGGCCCTGCCGACCACGACAGACACAACATCACGGCGCCGCGGCAATAGGAAGAAGGAGCGCGACTTTGACGCAGCCAGCAGCGCGTGGACGGACATTACGACGACGACGGCCATGATGAACATGCCGCCCAACATGCCGCCCAACATGCACGGTCCGGCGCCCGGGTCGTCCGGCAGTTACTACCAGCCTCCTATGCTGCAGCAGCAACAGCAGCAGTACCTACCGCCGATGCCCTCCATTCCCGGCGGCGGTCCTGGTTCGTCGTCGGCATATGCCATGCAGCAGCTCCAGCAGCACATCCAGCAGCAGCAGCAAATGCAGCAGCAAATGCAGCAGCAAATGCAGCAAGAATCCGAAAAGAAGGGCGGAAAGTGCATCGTCATGTGATGAAGCGCGCGCATCTTCTTGTCCGGTGCTGTGCGACCTCTTCTCTCCATTACCAGTCTTTTCTTGTCAAAAGATACCCTTCTCCGTCTGTACCGCACTCTTCACATCCTGCCATTTATTTCGATTTATGTCCTCCGTCGAACTGTCCGCCTTGACGGTAGCCAGCGAGCCATGTTTGTTTGTATTTGCGTTTCCTGTTTTGGTCATATCATATGTTGGAATATTAGCGAGCCTTTTGTCTTATAGTCCCATTGCCACTCTTGCCATTTGTGCCATTTTGCCATTGTGCCTTTTTTTATTACATGTCTATAATGATAATAACTTTCTTGTACGGCGTATTCGTCTCTTTTTATTTGTCCAGTGACCATGTACACATACGCCGTGCTACGTAACTGGGAACCGTTACACGATTTCATTTTATTTGCTATGATCGCTTTCTATTTCTGCTCCAATGGCAGCTCCTGATCATATGGCACGTCGGCGATGTCATGTAAATTCCATTGTCATGTTGTCTTGGAAAAGATGCAGTTCGTAATGTTACATGCGCTGTGAGACAGGAACGTATCGAACATATCAACAGCACATCACAGGCAAGAGTCCAGTCCTACTGCTAGCAGGCCACCTGGCTGCCCGTTCCCAGAAGCGTCATGGGAACAACGGCTCCGACGTCGCTCCCTCCCTGACTATACTCTTCCCAGCCAGTCCAGCCACCGGCCACTCCTTTTCCTTGTCCCAATTGGGTTTCCTCTCGCCCGACCTTGGTCAGTGCCATCGTCCGCCCCGTCGGGTCTCCATTCTCACCTTCTGACCCGCACATCCACATCCGCAACACCCGCCATGCTCTCCTCCTCCCAGTCTAACCAAGGACCAGCTCGTACACTATGAGCAGCGTATTGATGACAATCAAAGGTACTGGTGTGTTGTTAGGAAAGGGCATCAAATGGCATCGTCGCGAGGGGAAGGGGGAACCATGACAACATACTCCGCATCAGCGTGCGCACGCTGGCAATCAAGTTAATGATCTTGGCCTTGATGCTGGCATCGCCGCCGCCGACACCGCCGCCGCCGGGCTGGCCAAACGCCGGATCATAGGTCGCGGGCGACAGACCGATGCGCGCGAGGAAGCGGTCTTCGGACAAGATGGCGATGGCGTTGATGAGGAGGACGGACACTGTCGGTCGATTTTGTTAGCCGAGGGCGCAGCCCACGATGCAAGATCCAGGATGCAAGATGCAAGAAGCAAGACCGCGCAAGCAGGCCAGGCGTACCATAAAGAAACCCGCCCAAGAGATACATGGTGGATAACAAGGGGGGGATGTGCGCCTCGCAAGGAGGGCCAGACGGTGCAGAAGGCCGTGGCTGTTTTTTGGGTGGAGGTGGGAGATGTCGCGTGGAAAGGAGGACGTCGCAAGCTGTGTCGTCAAGGGCTCGTCGGGAATTCACCTATTCGCCTATTCGCCTATTTCATCATCAGTCCCAGCATCAGCAGGGTGCGATGGAGTCGCCTTTGTGGATTGTGGTGGACGGTCGTGTCTCGTCGTCTTTTGTCGTCCTCGTCGTCGCCGATGTGGAAAGGAGGAAGAAAGAAAGAAAGCAACAAAACGCGGGTCGAGCTTAGTTGGCCAACTGACAGCTCCACAGCCGCAGCATTGTCTCTGGCTGCCTGCTGTCAGCTGGCAAAAGGACACACAGCAGCTGGAAAGAGCCTAGGCCGTGCGAATGGGCACTATTCGTGTACTGTACGAATGCTGTACTTGGCTACCCCGCTGTGATTGGCCAGGTGCTCCCCAAACGCCTGCTGGAGCACCTGGAGCACCTTCCCGTGTAAGACAAGTTTGGTGACGGTTTGGGCAGGCAAGGGGACGGTGAACCTGCGGGTCTCGCCTTCCCTGTGCTGCATTTCTGGCATCGACCTCCCCCTCGTGCCTTCCTTTTCTATTCTCTGCTCCCTTCCCCTTTTGGTTGTCTTGTTGTTTCTGTTCTTTCCCTTTCCCCGCCTTCGTCCCTATACAGCATTCGCGGGGAAGCATCGCGAAACGACAGCTAACATGAAAAACATAGGTGAGAACACAGGACACGAGACTCCACGCTCCCATCGCAAGCGCGAGCTCCCACCCGGCCGCCCACGCGCACTCGTCTGTCCTTGTTGCTAACAGCCACGTTCCGCGCCAGACACCTTCCTCACGCTCCTCATCCCGGTGCTCGTCGTCGTCCACCTCGTCGTCGCCCCCTACACCAAGGTCGAAGAGTCCTTCAACATCCAGGCCGCCCATGACGTCCTCGTCTACGGCACGCCCGTTGGCCGCGGCGCCGGTCTGCGCCTCGAACAGCGCTACGACCACTTTACCTTTCCCGGCGCCGTACCGCGCACCTTTGTCGGCGCCGTGCTGCTTGCCGGCATTGGCCAGCCCGTGATCCAATTGGCCAACTCCGTCGGCGCGCTCATGGGCGGTCCCGCCGCCCAGACGGCCGTCCGCGGCGTTCTGGGCCTGGCCAATGCGGCGGCCATGGTGGCGCTGTCGCGGTCGCTGGGTGCCGCCTGCGGCCCGTCCGCGGCGCGCTGGTACGTGCTGCTGCAGGCCAGCCAGTTCCACGTCCTCTTCTACGCGTCGCGCACGCTGCCCAACACGTTTGCCTTTTTCCTGACGACCTATGCCTTTTCGTTCCTGCTGTCGCCCCAGGGCGCCCGCGCCACCCGCCGCGCCGACATACGCGCCGGCGGCCGCATCCGCGTCGCGCTCTGTCTGCTGTCGTACGCCGGCGTCGTGTTCCGCGCCGAGGTGGCCATCTTGCTGGCGGCCGTAGCCGCGTACCTCGTCGTGGCCCCGCTGGCCACGGCCGAGCGCATCGTGCGCACCATCGCCGTCGCCGTCGCCGTCGCCCTGGCGCTGTCCGTCCCCATCGACTCGTACTTCTGGCAGACGTTCCCGCCCGTGCCCTACTGGCCCGAGCTGCACGGCTTCCTGTTCAACGTCGTCCACGGCCAGGCCAGCGCGTGGGGCACCAGCCCCTGGCACTACTACTTTACGTCGGCCCTGCCACGCCTGCTGCTCAACCCGCTCGTCTACGTTGTCTTGATCCCCATGGCGCTGCGGCGCCCCGCGACAGCGGGCCCGGCGTCTCTGCTCGTCTGGCCCAGCCTGCTTTTTGTCGCCGTGTACTCGCTGCAGCCGCACAAGGAGGCGCGTTTTGTCCTGTACGTCGTGCCGCCATTGACGGCGGCGGCCGCCCTGGGCGCCGACCAGCTCACCAAGAGTGTGAGTGTCCTCCGCCACCAAGAACAAGAACGCGATGCCAGCACCGCGTCCCAGAACGCCAGCGACCGCAAGCCTGCTGCCGGTGGACCGGCTGTCCTGTCCAGGCTCACCTGGTACGCACTGGTGCTGTCCATCCCCATCGCCTTTGCCGCCAGCACGGCCATGCTGCTCGTCTCGGCGCTCAACTACCCTGGCGGTGAGGCTCTGGCGGCCCTGCGCGGCCTAGCCACGGCTGATGCGGTTGCTGCTGCTGCTCCGGCAAGCCCTGCAGACACGCCCTTTGTCGTGTCGGCACACGCTGATGTGCTGGCCTGCATGACTGGCGTCACGCTATTCGGCTCCGCCATGGGCGCCACACTCCTCAGCCACCGCTTCGCGGAAGAGCAGCGACACGTTGCTCTGGCCCGTGCCGCTCTGGCGGCCAACCTCGACCCCTTTGACCCCAACGCTGACCGCCTCCTGCCCGCTGCCGGCAAGAAGCCGACGGCCGTTGCTGGCCCAGGACAACCGCCCCAGCTGCTTGTCGACAAGACCGAGGATCCTGCCGTGCTCCGCGACCCGGCCTTTTGGACGCAGTTTGACTACGTCCTCGTGGAAGACCCCAAGGCCGTCGTGACAACCGCGGCCGGCAGCGCCAGCGGCCAGCCACAGTCCCAATGGGACACCGTCGCTGTCGTCGAGGGCTATGCCGGCATCGAGGTGCAGCGTCCCGGCCAGGCGAGCTCGCGCGACGACGACGACGACGAGGAAGGCACGCGGCCGACCGTTGTCGGGCACGGCGCCACTGTAGCACGCCTGCGCCAGGCGGTGCGGTCTCTGACGGGTGGGTGGTGGGCCGGTCCGCGCATGGCGCCGCGGATCTATATTCTGCGGCGCGTCAAAGGGGACGGCGCCGCGATGGCCGGCAGTAGTAAGGCGAAGGCGACAGCATAAGACGGCGATCCTTTGAAAGCGAAATCATCTCGGTACAAAATACTATGGAGCAGATGTGTACGATAGTCACGAAGTTGAAAACTGAAAAAACTGTAAGAATATATGAATGCTGACCGTGCTTGCGTCTCGGTTCAAAAACAAACAGTGAAAAATAATAAATCAGCAAAAGAATCACAGCTAGGAAAGTCGTGAGGTTGGGCTGGCCCTATCCTTTTGAATATTTCGTCCTTGACAAGATATTCTGTACGCGTGTGCGTGTCCCGCACAGAAGTGACAAACGGGGAGGTACTTAAATAAAGGCGTGTATATATATGGCCAAGTAGTAGTAGATAAAACAAGGTGCAAAGTAGCAAAATGTAACAGATTACCAACAATGATAAAGAAATAAAAAAAACACGGATACTTCGTGGTGCTTGAAGAGGACAAGAAAAGTTGCCAGGTTAAGAAATTAATTCACAAATAGGTACGCATGGAAATGCAAAGAAACGAAATGGTGGACACAGAATGATAAAACAAAGGCACAAAGAGACGCAAGCCTTCCGCCGCGAAGAAGAGCAAATGGCAAAGGAAACAAAAACAATTGGGAAAGTACATCAAAGAACTTTTTACACTATTTCATGACTTCTGGAGGAGTAAAAGGTACAGATGCAAAACAGGAAAGAAAAGAAGCACATGCAAAGGGGGCTCGCATATAAACGAGAAAAAAATAAGGGAATCGTCAGCTGTGGGCCATTGGGAGAAACCGTGTAAGTAAACAAAGGTCGTATGTGAAGGTGACTGGAAAGCAGTGTTCTCTTTCGTCCGTTCGTC